GTGTCAATCCACCTCCTTGAGGGTCTTCCTCTTTTTCGCTGACCCTCTACTTTACCAAGCATGATGTCCTTCTCCAGGGACTGGTCCCTCCTGATTACACGTCCAAAGCACATGAGACGAAGTCTCGCCATCCTTGCTTCTAAGGAGCATTCTGGCTATACTTCTTCCAAGACAAATTTGTTCGTTCTTTTGGAATTCTATGGTATATTCAATGTTCCTCACCAACACTGTAATTCAAAGGCTTCAATTCTTCTTCGGTCTTCCTTATTCATTGTCCAGCTTTCACATGCATATGAGGTGATTGAAAACACCATGGCTTGAGTCAGGCACACCTTAGAACTTAAAGTGACATCTTTGATTTTTAACACTTAAAAGTTAATTGCAGCAGATTTGCCCAATTCAATGTGTCATTTGATTTCTTGACTGCTGCTTCCATGGGTGTTGTTGATTGTGGATCCAAGTAAAATGAAATCCTTGACAACTTCAATATTTTCTCTGTTTATCTCGATGTTGCTTATTGTTTTTTTGTTTTCTTTATGTTGAGGTGTAATCCATACCGAAGGCTGTGGTCTTTGATCTTCTTCAGTAAGTGCTTCAAGTCCTCTTCACTTTCAGCAAGCTAGGTTGTGTCATCTGCATATCACAGGTTGTTAATGAATCTTCTTCCAATCCTGATGCCCTGTTCTTCTTCATACATTCTGGCTTCTTAGATTATTTGTTCAGCATACAGACTGAATAAGTAAAGATTACATCCCAGAAGGAAACCCTGGTGGTGTAGCGGTTACATGCTGCGGCTGCTAACCAAACAGTCAGCCGTTTGAATTTGCCAGGTGCTCCTTGGAAACTTTCTGAGGCAGTTCTACTGCATCCTATAGGGTTACTATAAGTCAGAATTGACTCGAGGGAAACAGGTTTGGTTTTTTTGGTTTGGTTATATCCTAGAAAACCCTATGGGGCAGTTCTACTCTGTCACGTTGTGTCACTATGAGTTGGAACCAGCTCGACGTCACCTAATAACAACAACCTGGGATCTACCTGAGATGTTAACAGATGTTAATGGGGACTCATTAGATGAAGGTGGTTGTCGGGCAAAAAAAAAATTACTTCACATTTGTATCCCCACAGAGTTTAGGCTGTTTATTATACAGGTTGCATTTGGGAATTTCTTGCAGGATATACTTGATAGTTTTATAAGGTAAAATCTGTGTAAAATTGAATTAAAAATAGCAATATGTTTTAGTCTAAAATCTTTGAAAATAAAACAAAATTTTAAAGATTTGCATATTTATGAATGAAAAAAAAAGAAACTATTAATGCAGTTACTAAAATATTTACCGGCTCAAAGTTGGGCAGCACAGTATCTTCATCACCAACGACAAAATTCACCATGCTGCAGATCTGTACGGAATGTCCTATTGGGGAATAGACAGTGAAGAGCAGCATGTGTCTCCTAAAGAGAATGGATAGTATATGAGGACCAAGGATTTCCTTTGTTGTAGTACTTGCCTCTCTTAGCTGCTTGATGACCGCTTAGAGCTAAAACTAAGTCAAATATTAGTAAAGAGTTGAATTGTTTAACACATACAGTACAAAGACCTTTGAATTTTCACCCTGAAAGAATGCTTGGAGATCACGGAGTTTCTATTTTAATAATGATGTAGGACAAAAATAATTTCATTAAATGACAAACTTGCACACACTGGAGAAATCTCCTATATACTATAGTCACATTGTTAAAGACAAGTCTTCATTTTTCCCTAACAACAACAATAATTCATGTTGGTATAGGGCTTTGTAGTTTTCAAAGTGATTTCAAAGTCATTTTCTGACAAATTATGTATCTCCTTCCAGGATGCAGTATCATTGAGAGCAGAAACATTCGTTTTCCCTCAGTTACTGAGCATGTAGAACATGTTCAAAACATACATGTTAATGGGTTAGGTCCTCTGGGTGGAAATGTGAATATAAGACTCTATTACTTCCCTGTCCTTGGTTGTCAGCATAGTCGGGCACTCAGACACAGTAACTGGATTTCTGGTAGAATTTCTCCATACCAGAGATTTTAGGGCAGATGTGAGAAATATTGAGGTTTTTAAATTACTATTTTCTAGGAATGCTGCATATAATATTTTAGCATTTTATTTGGTTCTTAGGTTTTAATTTTTACACAAAAGCTATAGCTTCTCATTGGTCAGAGAGAAAAAGTATACTTGGTCTTGGAAAAAAAATCAAGTGGAAATCTTTATATCATATGAAATAGGAAGTAATATTTTGAATTTTATTTATCAAAATAAATGTTTTGATATACATACTCTCTTTAATATGAAAAATGTGATGTGTTCAGCCAGTTTTCTTTTAATTAAAAAAAAATCTAACAAAAACAAATTATAAGTAAACTGGGAAATTTGTCAACAATTATGGGCAGTGGTTTCACAACATGATTAATGTGATTGATCAATCAATAAATTGTATATCAGAAACAATGTTGAATGGCCAAATGTTGTGTTATGTATATTTTTACAACAATAAAACAATATAGATTGGTAGGGGGAAATGCTAGGTTTCTTAATCTGTATTTAAATAAAATCACAGTTCTTGCTAAGGAATATAATGAGAGTTACAAGTAAAAGCGATTCTTTATCTAATTTTAGGAAATGTTGGGGTAAGCAAGTTTAAACAGTATTCCTTACTAATGAAATTCCCAGAATCTTTGATAATTATGGGTTTTCCAAAAGGGAATTCAGTGAACAGGATTTTTTCAATTTAGTTGTTCATGGAAGTATTTGTCTCAAGTATCATATGCTTGTGAAATCACTTCAGGATACAATACTCTAGAGACCATATTGTTTAATTCTTTAGTAATCAATAGTTTATAAAGCTCCACAAATTCTTAGAATGGGAAAAAAATAAGCCACCACATACCCAACAGGCAGGCGAACCATTGTGGCCTTGGTAGCATATGTATGAATCTTCACAAGAAGGTTGCGTGCCTTCAGAGATTTCCAAGAAGGCATTTCAGCTATAAGTAGTCCAGGCTCTATGGAAGGACTGTCTTTTGTTAAGGCTTTAGGAAAAGTAAAAGAAAAAAGAATTAAAAATTCATTTGAGAGTATAGTTACTTCTCTGGTATTGCTTTTTCTTTTTCTATTTTTTTTTTTTTTTTGATTCAATAGCAACATAAATAATAAATTTTAAATTTTGGGAGTTAGAGATATTCTAAAATTCTCATAAAACAGTAGAAATTACTCCAGGTAATTTTTAGTTTCATCCTGACAATCACCTTCTCAAGTGAGGAAACCAAGAAAGGAAATGTTTGAAAAGGAGAACAGAGAGGCAAATTTTATTGTAGAATGTCATCACTTCCATTATCTCTGACAATAATTACAATATCCCTCTGGATGCAATATTAAAGGAGGGAAAATACCACATTTGTGAAAGTGACATATTTCTCTAAGATAGCATCAAAGCAATGCCAAAACAGCCCATTATTTATTCAAATTTTTGCCATTGATTCTGAGGGCTGACTGTGTGTAGAAATAGCAAGTAATTCACAATATATGAATTTCAGTATCAAATTTTTCTTGAAAAATGAATAAAGAATATAACTATTCTTCATCATTGACTGAGGGCAAAATATGTTTTACCCTATTTCAAGACAGCACTTGAGCTGAGGACATATAAGGCCATAGCATGACCTAAAATGTCTCCATGCTTATAGAATTAAATGTTCTAGGTCACATGGGGTAGCTTAAGAGCTACTGGTTAGATAGACATACTAAGGTTAGACCACTAAACTTTGGAGAGTCTACTTATTCAAGAAGTATTTACTGCCCACCTACTAGGTGCCAGACATCACTTAAAATATTGGAGGTATCTTGGTAAAAAATCTAATTACCTGCCCTCAATGTGGGCAAGACATTCAATATTAAGCACTCAGTAGATATTTAGGTTCCAGGTACTGTTAATCTGAGTTAGAGATAAAGGCTTTAACAAAATAGGGCAAGGAACTAGAGAGTGGTTTGTGTGCGTTTTGTGTTTGCACTGAGGCATTTCAGAAAGTTGGTCAGAGAAAGCTTTTGAATAGAGATCTAAATGAAGTGAAGATTCAAACTGTGCGAAGTACTAGGTGAAACCATTCTAGGAAACTGGACTGGCTACTGCAATAACCCCAAGGCACAAACAGGAACCACAAACAGACCAGACCAGAACGGCTGAGTGGTGTGATAAGGGGGAACCTGGTAAGGATAAGATTGGAGATAGAGGCAAGGGCCAGATTCAGTATGGTAACAGGAGTAGATTGAATTCTTAATGCAATGGGAAGCCACTGGAGGGTTTTGAGCAGGGGAGTAACTTTATCAGTTTTAACAGTTACAAAGATTATTTTAGCTTATACGTGGAGAAAAGAGTATAGCGGAGCAAGGCAGAAAGAGGCCACAGAATGGTGGAAGGATAATCAGAAGAGTATAGAAGCCAAGTGACGAAATAATGTTTAAAGAAAAAAAAAAAAAAAAAAAGGAGTAATTAGCAGGATCAGATGACTGAATAAGACAAGAATTTGACCATGAGATTTGACCCTGGGGATGTTTCAGCAGAATGGTGTGGGTTAAAGTCTAAAGTGGAAAGGGGGATTAGTAAAGAATGGACCACTGAACCTAACCTAATCCCCTAAGTTAATGTCCCTTTGAGAATTTAATGCATGTCCAATGAAAATGACATCTGAAATGGTTTAAAACCTGTTCAAATAGAAGTGTTCATAAGGAAAAATAAGAAATAAAGAATGCCAGAAAAATTCTGGAAAATTGGAACAGAGGGAAGTGCTAGACTTTTCAGGTACTTAAACATATCTACAGCTATTAAAAGTGTGGTAGTAGTAAATAATAAAGATACAGATGAATGGGACATAAAAAAAAGTTCTGTAACATATCCAAGTACATAAAGATAGGTAAAGATATCGTCACATAGCCAAGTACATAAAGATATATATGTATATGTATAAAGATATTATCATTGTGGCAAAAGATGAGTAACTTAATATATGTATTAGGAACACTGATTGCAATCTAGAAAAACTGGATTTGTATATCACATTTACAACATAATTTCAGATACAGTAACAATTTAAACATGAACAATAGAACCAAAAAAGTTACAAAAGTTAATATGAGATAATTTTAAAATTCAAGACATATGTCACCATTTGTCTTTATGTTTAGTCAATCTTGAAGAATACACAAGAAATGCTAATAGAGCTTGCTTCTATGGAAGAGACCTATGTGGTTGGCCAACAAGTGTTGGGAGAAAAAAATACTTTTCACTGAATATCATTTGTACTTTTTTGAATTTCTGTGCTGGAATGTGTAAATATGTTACCATGTAAAATAAATCACTTATAATATTAAAGGTAAAGAGATTGGGAGATAAAAAGTAGACAAAACCAGAATTTACATCAATGCAAGAAGTTTTCTATAGACTAGAGAAATAAGATGGTAGCTGGGGTCAGGAGATGTTTTTATTCATTTGTTTTAAGATCAGAGGCAATTTGGCATATTAGGATGCTGAACAGAAGGGAAGGCAGACTAGAGTTTAGAAGAGTTCATTATGGGAAAATGAGGTAGATAATTTCTGATTTCTTCTATCTCTTCAGTGAAATCAGGAATAAGGCCATCAGAGAATGAGGATGAGAGCAGGTGTTGGAGATACATAGAGAGGCAGAGAGAGAGAGAGAAAGTCACAGATTCTGAGAAGACTTAAGAGTTTTGAAATAGTCCTCTCTGAGAGTGGGAGAGTGACTAGAGCAATGTTAAAAAACCAAACCAGACTCGCCATTGTCAAGTTGATTCCAACTCATAGTGACCCTACAGGGCAATGCTGGCAGTGCTTAATAAGGGCCTTTTTGAGATCTGTGGTCATTAATGTGGGCCTGGCAGATACGATTTGTTTTGCTGTTCTGGTTGTTGTTGTGTTTGTTTCTCCAATCAAATTCAGCCACTCTGATGCAATCATAGGTTAGGCCCAGAGTATAGTTTAATCATAACTGGGATTCTTCCAGAAAAGTAAGATGAGAGGGTAAGAAGGGCAAGAGTGTTGAGGGTATATGCAAGGATATAATCATAGTGATGCATCACAGAAGTAGAAACTATCTTTCAAATGAGAGAAATAAAGACACGAGGAAAGTGATATAGAAAAAGTGGTAGGATCAATAGAAGGTGGTTGCAGTGGAGTCCAAGAATTATAGGAATGGACTTCTAGAGAAAATGAACTGGAGAGTGGGGTGCTTGAAATTGACGTGATTAAGATAATGCAGTTTGGTAACAATAATACCTAAAGTATACTCATGAAACAAGGGGGTCACAGTGGGATGGAAGAAAAGATCTTTGAAGCTGTCAAATCAAAAAAGAAAGCATCTATGTTTTTTGATAGATTTTGAAAGATTGTGAATGATGCAATGTATAGATGGAAAGAAAAATGGAATGACTAGGTGTGTCAAAGAAGTGGAGGTGGAGGTGGCAAGACTGGGCATAATCCTTGATGTCTGAGGAATAAGAGGTGGTACAAGGTGGTATAAATGCCTTCATTCAGAGCCTAAAAACCTTATTATCACATTTCCCCTAACCTGAAAGTGAGTTGAGCTTTAAGACTGTCATTTTCTCATAGTCTTCTTACCTCCAGATTCTCCCCAGCGAACCAATGCAGAAAAGCAAATCAGCAGTTCAATCGGTTTTAGACTATCCACAAATAGATGGTAGGAAACACGTTCCTCTGAGAACTGCAACAAATCAAGCCAATCATCATACTCATTAACAGCACACTAATGCCATATTTTCCACTTGTAATAATATTGTAATATTATTATATATAATTATGTATATATAATTATATATAATTATAATAATATTATATTTTAATAATAATATATTAAAATACCTAACATTTATAGATAACTTACTATGTTTCAGGTTCAATGATGTGAAAAAAATACTGGGTGAATGTTTGCAATAGTCTATGGATGCTGCGTCTGCAGGGCTTGTGTGTCAGACTGGTGCCCATATGAGAGTCAAAGCTCTTCTTCGTGAGTAAAGAAAAAGAACATTCTTGTTCTGGAAATGAGATAATAAAGGAGACTGGGCCCAGAGTTGAGCACTGCTCAGAGAACGGGCTCCTGATAGGCAGAGAGGCCATGGAGTAAAACTGGTGCAATGTCTAACGGAGATGGTGTAAGTTATTTTACAGGGTAGTATGTGATATAAACTCTCTTCTTTCCTCAAAATCTTCAGAAATATAATAATTGCAAGGCATAGCCAACCTGGTGCTATAGATAGAAGCACCATGATGTCCCTCTGCAGCAAAGACCCAAAAAACTAAGTAAAACAGATACAAACATCAATCCTGGAACCCTAAGTACCAAATGAAGGAATAAAGAACTCAAGTAAGCACCGAACGGAATAAGAAACTGACAGAGAACAGAAAACAAGGAGAGCTACTGAGCGGAGGTCCCCTACCAGCTAACATGGCCAAATTCACCATCCCGGGCTACAGCCACCAAACAACTCAGATAGGGAGTACAGGAAGGCAATTTCATGGGGCTCCTAACAGGAGACACAGCACCTGGTTAGGACATGAATCTTCCCTCTCCACACCCTTCTTCCCTGTACGAGACCTCGGCTACTTGCCAACAGGCCACGGTCACTGGGCCAGAGAAATACCAGCTCACTGCTGCCCAGATTCGGCATCTTGGGCTATAGCCACCAAAGAACTAGAGACAGGGAGTACAGGAAAGCAACTCCATGGAGCTCTCAGCAGGAGACAGAGCACCCAGTAACCAGGGATACGTGATTTCCCATCCCCCACACGTCTTCCCTCTACACAGTCAACAGCTGCTTGCCAACAGGCCATGGTTGCTCAGCCGGAGAGACAATAGCTCAATGCTGCTGGGGTCCACTCCCCTCCCACTGAAGGCCCCTCTAGCCCTATTTTTTTTTCTTTTTTTTGTTGCTTCTCTAGTCCCATGTGCCATCCCCTCCCCTTCTTGACAGATTGTGCTTTTTAGGTTTGTGTTTTATGTTGTCAGTATTTTTGTTTGTTTTTTGAGATTTTTTTTCTTTTTGGCTTTTTTTTGTTGCTTTTCTCTCTCTCCCTTCCTTCCTACCCTTTCTCCCACCCAGCTAGTCCTGTATGCCATCTCCTCCCCTTCTTGATGGGTTGTGATTTTTTGGTTTTTTGCTTTGTTCTTTTTTCTTCTTCTTCTGCTTTTTTTTAATGTATCTTCTCTCTCCTTTCCTTTTCCCCATCTACCCAGCCTTGTGTGCCACTCCCACCCCTTCTGGAGGGGCCTTGCTGCACAGCTCCATTGGTGGGTCACTGCACACGGCCTCCCCAGGTCTGTGCCGCCATCACTGACTGGCTTCCTCAGCACCATTTTATTTATTTATTTATTGTTTGTTTGTTTGGTTGGTTTTTCTAGTCTTTTTTTTGGTCATTGTTTCTCCTCTCCCTCTCCCTTCCCTCCTTTCCTCTCTCCCATCCATCCAGCCCCATGCACCATCTCAACTTCTTGGCAGGCTGTACTGTACCGCTCAGCTGGAGACACTCTGGAACATGGGCTTCCCGGGTCTGTGCCATCCCCAAAGGCCAGCTACCTCAACACCACATTTTATATTTTCTTTATCTTTCCTCTTCTCCTTTTCCTTCTTCCTCCCACCTAGGCCCTTCACTGCCTCCACCCCTTCCTGACGGGCTGTGCCATGCCACCCAGCGAGAGATATCAAACAATATCAAAACATGTAAAAAAAACAGGAGAGTATGGCTCCAGCAAGTGACCAAAATAAAATACCAGATGACCTTCTCTTAGAAGAAAAGCCACTGGAACTACCTGATAGGGAATTCATTTCAGGCTTCTCCAACAGATGAAGGAAAATGCAGACAAAAATAAGGAAAAAATAGACAAAATCATGGAAAAGACAGACAAAAATATAGAAAAGACAGACAAAACAATGCAAGAAATCAGGAAAATACTATAGGAACAAAATGTCAAAACAAATAAACAACTAGAAATCATACAAAAACAGCCATCAGAAACCCAAAAGATAAACAACAAGATTTCAGAAATGGACAGTGCAATAGAAGGTTTTAGGAGCAAATCTGAAGCAATGGAACACAGGATCAGTGAAATTGAAGACAAATCCTTGGATACCACTTTGTTTGAGGAAAAATTACAGACAAGAATGAAGAAAAATGAAGAAACGCTGAGAACAATGTTGCATACAATCAAAAGCAAAAATTTGCGTGTGATCAGAGTTCCAGAACAGGGAGAGAAAACAGAATGCACAGGGAGTCATTGAAGATTTGCTGACAGAAAACTTCCCTAATATCATGAAAGACGAAAAGCCAACTATGCAAGAAGCTCAACAAACTCATACAGGAATGACCCCAAAAGAAAATCACCAAGGCATATCATAATCACACTCACTAAAACCAAAAACAAAGCAAGAATCCTGAGAGCATCTCGAGAAAAACAAAAAGTCACATACAGAGGGGAAACAAGAAGACTAAGCTCTGATTACTCGGCAGAAATCATGCAGGCAAGAAGGCAATGGGATGACATACATAAAATCTTGAAAGAAAAAACCTGCCAACCAAGAATAATATATCCTGCAAAACTGTCACTCAAATATGATGGCAAAATTAGGACACTTCCAGATAAGAAGAAACTAAGGGAATATGTAAAAACCCAACCAAACTTGTAAGAATTATTAAAGGGAGTCTTTCGGTTAGAGAACAAACAGCATCAGACAACAACCTGAATCTAGCACATAAGACAGTATCAGCTACATCCTAACCTAGATAATGAACTCTCAAGGATAAAACAAAGCTAAAAGATTTACAACAGGGAACCAGAGACATCAATCTGTAAATGACAATGTCAGAACAATAAAAGAGGGAATAAATGGTGTAGGTATAGAACTTTCAAATAGAGAGGAAGTAAAGGAGTTATCAAGTAATAAAACACTGGTTTAAACTTAGAAATATATGGGTAAATTTTGAGGTAATTAACCACAAAGAAAGTTGACAAACCTACTAATCAAAATAAAGAATAAAAATATACTCTCAGTAAACACAAAATCTACAAAAACAAAAGAAATGAAAACAAAACACAAACAAAAGGAATTCAGAACAGATGAATAAGAAGAACAAAGAAAATGTCAGCACTACAAAATGACAGCAATAAACTCACACCTATTAATAATCACATTGAACTTAAATGGCTTAAATACACTCATAAAGAGACAGAGAGTGACAGAATGGATAAAAAAACAGGACCCATCAATATGTTGTCTACAAGAGACTCATCTTAGAAACAAAGACTTAAATTTATTAAAAATCAAAGGATGGAAAAAAATATATCAAGCAAACAGCCAGCAAAAAAGAGCAGGAGTGGCAATACTAATCTCAGATAAATATACTTTAAAATAAAATCATCATAAAGAGATAAAGAAGGGCATTACATAATGATTAAAGGGACAATCCATCATGAAGACATAACCATAAAAAATATCTAAGCACCCAACGACAGGGCTCCAAAATACAGAAAACAAACTCTAACAGCATTGAAAAGAGCAATTGACAGTTCCACAGTAACAGTAAGAGACTTCAACACACCACTCTCAGTAGAGGACAGAACATCAAGAAAGAAACTCAACAAAGATACAGAGGATCTAAAGGTCACAATCAACCAACTTGACCTCATACACACATATAGAGCACTCCACCCAACAGCAGCAAAGTACACATTCTTTTTCAAGCATATGGAATGTTCTCCAGAATAGACCACATTTTAGGCCACAAAGCAACCCTCAACAAAATCCAAAACACAGAGATAACACAAAGCATCTTTTCTGATCACAATGCCATCAAAATAGAAATTAAAAACAGGAAGAAACTGACTAACGCCCTGCTTAAAAATCACTGGGTAATAGAAGAAATCAAAGACAGAATGAAAAATTTCTAGAATCAAATGAGAATGAAAACACATCATACTAAAATCTTTGGGACATATCAAAGGCAGTGGTCAAAGGTCAATTTATACCAATGGATACGCACATCTGAAAAGAATAAAGAATATGAAACCATTAGACAACTCAAACAAACAGAGAACAGCAAAAGAAGCCCACAGCCACCAGAAGAAAGGAAATAATAAAGATCAGAGCAGAAGTAAATGAAATAAAGAATAGAAAAACAATAGAAAGAATCAACAAAACCAAAAGTTGGTTCTTTGAAAGGATCAACACAATCAACAAACCATTGGCCAAACTGACAAAAGAAAAACAGGAGACAATGCAAATAACCTAAATAAAAAATGAAACGGGGGACAGTACAACAGACCTGACTGAAATAAAAGGGATCATAACAGAGTACTATGAAAAACTATACTCCAACAAATATGAAAACCTAGAGGATATGGACAAATTTCTAGTAGCACACTACCTGCCTTAACTAACATAAACTGAAGTTGAAAATCTGAACAAACCCATAACAACAGAAGAGATTAAAAAGCTAAAAGAAAAAAAAAAAAGCCCTGGCCCAGATGGCTTCACTGGAGAATTCTATCAAACATTCAGAGAAGAGCTTACACCAGTACCACTCAAACTATTTCAGAACACAAAAAAGGAAGGGATACTTTCAAATTCATTCTATGAAGCCAGCATAACCCTGATATCGAAACTAGGCAAAGACACCACAAAAAATAAAATTACATACCAATATCTCTCA